CAATGACTGATGGCAAGGCCTTGGTGCAACTGAGTCCCAGCATTCCAGAATGGGCCTTTGTTGCAGGTTCCGGTTCGGTCCGAATGCAGCAGAACGCAGCGGTCCAGGCTGAGAAGGCAGGCTTGCCATGGCGACGTGCGTTCCGGTTCCAAGCCTGCCGGGTTTGCCGCGCAAGTCACAAAGCCCTGAACAATGCCGACCTGCGTTGCTGCAGGCGAAAACTGGCAGGTTCCGGCAGGCTACTCAGAAGAGGGATGCTTTCTTTTGCGAGTTCAGGTTTTTGGGTTTAGGATGTTCGGACTTGTGATGGCCACGGAGGTTCCAGGCAGGTGAGTTGCAGAGCTGCACTTTGCATTCGTCCCGCTTGATTACATTGGGTTTTGTGACATTGTGGTGACATGTTACAAGCGCCTCTCAGGTGGATCCTAAGTCGGAACAACCCACACTTGCCTTCCAAGCAGCTTCACTCAGAGCCAGGGTTTAGGCACCTTCCTTCTTAAATAGGTCCGAGGTTCAGGGGGAGCCGCCGTTTATCTCGTCGTGGTCCCGATGCCAGACATGCCTGGGCCCCAAAGCTAAACCAGACAGACCCTGATTCGACAAGGCACCGTGAACCCGACCTGAGACCCCAAACCCTGCACTACACACCTGGTATACGGCACTCCAGTACTGTCATGGAACCTCCCACGGCGCAACATTTGTGGCTCTGCGCTAAGCGATGAAAGTAAGGCACGATATGCTTCGAGTGATTCCAATCACATCAAAAAAAGTTAACAGTAGCATGAAGCGACCAGCAGCATCAGCGTCGATGGCCCGGACGGCGAAGAATCGAATCCGAATGACGGCGGAGAAGAAGCGTGAGAAGAAGGAACGCTTTTGGCAGGACACCTTGGAATTTTTCCGCAAGATCGACGAGGAGGCTGAGAAGGACGATAAGAAGGAAGACATGCCCCAGGCGGAGGCTGACGACAAGGAGGGCAAGAAGAAGGAGGGCAATGCCCTTGCGGAGACTGACAAGAAGGAGCCATGAGGGGGTGCAGGTTCCCAGAATTTCTACAGACCTCGACCTTCGGCGCAGCTTCCCCCAGCAGCCTACAGACCTCGACCTTCGCAGTCGTGCATCGGTGTGAGCAATGATAACGTATAGTATGCAATACTTTATGTAGCCGGTGCCGGGGGAGGCAGCCTGCAGTCCTTGAGCTTTGGGTACGATTGCCCTTTGCTGCTCGTGCATTGTTCGCTTTTGAGAAATAGGAAAAAGCGTTTCAGCGTCACCAACCCCAACCTGACCCAACCCTCAGAGCTTCGCTTGGCCCAAGACAAAGGGTATCTCGAGGGATATGCCCCAGGCTTCAGCTTTGCCCACCAGGCCCGATTGTGACCAACCAACTTGATACTCTTCTTGTTCCCTTTGTACATTCGGGACCCCGTTTTGGACAGATAGGTCTTCCAACCCAGTTCCGCCCCACACCATGGAGAGAGGACGTTAAACCCGACATCAGCCACCAACACCTCCCCGAGTCTCAGAAGAACATCACCGAAGTAGACTTCGATATCGACCACAGACGAAACGTCGGTCGAACCTCCCGAGGCGTTGAACAGACTGGCTGCCTTGTCGTGTGTCTTCACCACACGAAATCCTGAGATAAACTGGTTGGAAACTATGTGGCACGTAGCCCCACTATCAGCCAACCAAACATCCCTCGGGCTAACCCCTAGGCGCGAGCACATCTGAGAGAGGTTTCCTCTTTGAGAAAACTTCGAGCCTAAGGCCCCCATTGACTCTCCAACTACGGTGCCTACCGGCTTCACCTCTTCAGGCGCGTTCAGAACACGAGGAGGAAGAGAAGATTCGGCCGAAGCTTCCCGCACTCCAGAAAAACCCAAAGCCAAGTAACGGCCTTTCCCTTTTCCTTTCTTCTTCTTCGACTTCTCCTTGCCCTTCCCGCGCCCTTTGGGGCTCTTGTCCCCGTGCTCGCTCCGAGGGGTTCCACCTCCCCGCGGCGTTCCTCCACCTTTGGGAGTTCCCACACCTTTGGGATTTCGGTCCCCTTTTCCTTTGTCTTTAGGCTTCTTTCGATCCTTTCCATGGTCGCCCAAAAGTCACAGTGTTCCAAGGGAGGGAGCGCATCACAGAGCTTCTCTTTCTCTCTCCACGCTTGTTCCTCTCATAAAGTCACAGTGTTCCAAGGGAGGGAGCGCATCACAGAGCTTCTCTTTCTCTCTCCACGCTTGTTCCTCTCATGTTGACACTGCGCTCGCTTTGCATCAAGCTCAGGCCTCCATCCTCGCATTCAGCTCGGTTCTTTCGTACCGTGCTCGGGCGTATAATTGCAGGCTTGTACATTGATCAGCTCAGTGCTTTGCATGATCGGTGCCTCCGCGTTTAGGAACCGATAGGTCCATGCACATGGTTCAGCTCACGTTGTTGTTCTGCAATATTGTCCCCCTCTTCCAAGGCCAGGAGATTCAGACGGAGCTCTTTGAGGTCAGCTCATCCGGCTTTTTTTCTCAATCCCTTAAAGGGTACACACACAACCCTAAATTTCATTCCCACTAAGAACCAGGGGTCATTCCGAAGCTGTGGTAACTCAGATGGTCAATTCAAATTTGGTGCCTGTTTTGGGTACCGTAAATAAGAGGGACCGCCTTATAACAAGGACCTCATACACCCAATTAGCCCTAAACCTTAAACCTTATGAACCTCGTAAACCGTTGAAGCACCAAATCCTGAACCCTGAACCATCCATCTACCATCGCATCAGAAGCATCGACCCTGTGGAAGTTGAGGTTGAGGGTTTGGTAGGAGTGTTAGGGGTTTGGGGGGTTTACGCAGTTGCTGCATCACTACAAGCTACTTCTGAAGGGGCCCGCTGGCGGGGCCCTCTGGCAGGTCCTGCTGGCGGGGCCCGCTGGTGGGGCCCACCAGCTCTCGTTAGTTTTAGTTCAGGTTAGAGGCTGGAATAAACAACCCTTGAAACCCACGGCTGTATTTACTTGATCAACAGACTGAACTTGCACTTCTAGGATTGCTGGCGAATTGCAATTATCGGATTGACATGATGAAATAAATGTTGCCGGTGGGGACCACTGGCGGGCCCGCTGGCGGGCCCGCCAGTGGGCATTGTAAAAGGGAACCTTGTCAACACCTACAATTTTTATTAAATGTATTAAATTCAACTTGCATGTGTAGGATTGTTGTCTTGGCGGTGACCTGGCGGGCCCCGCCAGCGGGTCCCGGCAGCGGGGCCCGCCAGTGTGTTGAACCAGAGTATTACTTCGCTACAAAAGTAAGCAATCCTATAAGTGCAACTCGCCAGCAGGCCGCGTCAACAGAGCCAACTAGTACTTGATGGGCTACTTGATTTAAATCAAGTGTCTCTGGTGGGACCCGCTGGCGGGCCCCGTTGGCGGGCCCCGCTGGCGGGCCCCGCTTGCGGGCCCCGCTGGCGGGCCTCTGCGAACGGAGTCAGCAAAGCTTGTTTAAAAAAAAAGAAATCTATAGCTGCAAATTGAATTATATAGACTAACTGTTGTTTTTGTCAATACCTTTTAACAAGCTGAGGATCGGTTGACGGCGCCTGCTAGGACATTTGCCGGTGGGGCCCGCTGGCGGGGCCCGCCAGCAGGGCCCTAGATTTACTTTAGCCTTTATTTAATTCAACTTGCACTCAAAGGACTGTGCACTTTTGTCAAACAAAAACTTGACATGGCGCGTTGAACTTATAGGATTACTTGTTAATACTCTGGTGTGCACCGGCTCCGCTGGCGGGGCCCACTGGCGGGACCCGCTGGCGGGCCCACCACTGGGCCCCGCCAGCGGGCCCCGCCAGCGGGCCCCGCCAGCGGGCCCCGCCAGCGGGCCCCGCCAGTGGGCCCCGCCAGTGGGCTTGTAAAAGGGTTTCACATTTATCTACACCTAAGCAAGAGCTAGTGGACAAAGCTTTGCTAAAATACCCTTTCCCAGCCCGCTTTTGGGGCCAGCGGGCCCCGCCAGCGGGCCCCGCCAGCGGGCCCCGCAAATCAAAGCGTTTCACATTATCTACACTGAAGCAAGAGCTAGTGGACAAAGCTTTGCTAAAAGACCCGTTACAAGCCCGCTTTTGGGGCCGGCGGACCCCGCCAGCGGGCCCCCGCCAGTGGGGCCCGCCAGCGGGCCCCGCCAGCGGGCCCCGCTGCCGGAGCTTGTAAATGGGTTTCCCATTATCTACACCTACTTTATTTAATTCAACTTGCACTGACAGGATTGTCTAGTTTTGTCAAGCAAGAACTACTGGACAAAGCTTTGCTAATACCCGTCACAAGCCCGCTTTTGGGGCCTGCCAGCGGGCCCCGCCAGCGGGCCCCGCCAGCGGGCCCCGCCAGCGGGCCCCGCCAGCGGGCCCCGCCAGTGGGCTTGTAAAATGGTTTCAGATTATCTACACCTACTTTATTTAATTCAACTTGCACTTATAGGATTGTCTGCTTTTGTCAAGCAAGAACTACTGGACAAAGCTTTGCCAAAATGCCCGTTACAAGCCCGCTTTTGGGGCCCGCTGGCGGGCCCCGCCAGCGGGCCCCGCCAGCGGGCCCCGCCAGTGGGCCAGCAAAGCTTGCTTTCATTCCCAGGACTATAGAAATGAAAAAAAACAAGCATGTATTACGTTTACTAAAGTAAACTGCTGCTTCTTCAAGTCTTCTAGCGTCAACGCACTAATGACCCATTCATGGTTCAAAAAGTGTTCGTTCAAGACCCAAGCGATCGGAGCCTGTCTCGAGTCCTGTCACCCATTGCAGAACAACGCGGCGTGCAGGCAGCTACAACAAGCTGGCTTTCTCGTGGCCGGCTTGGTTTCTGCTACTCTCTTGCTGCTGTCGTTGTGAGAACATTCCCTGTGCATTGTGGATGACGTCCTGCGTTCTTACAGAATCGGTAGCAATTTTCTCGCCCAATCCTGCGGTGGTTCAAGTCTGCTGCCAGCGGACTACAGGGGTCCGACAGGTAGTTTCTAGCAGACGCCATGGGGAAGTCTGTCCCGAAGAAAGAAGCCGGGCCCAAGGGATGCGTCAAGAAAGAGGCTGGGTCCGATTTACAGTGTGTGGCTGTCCAGCCTGAAGCAGGAGAGGTCATCACGATCCCTGACCCAAAAACCAAGAAGAAGGATCGGGAGCAGAATCGCACAACAGTGCGGGCCCGATTGACTCCAACGGAGATGGAGCTCATCCGGGAGTACCGCAGCTCCGATTCGACACCTGAAGACAGCCTCTTGAAGCTTCAGCAGCGTCTCAAAGCTGTCTACCTCTACGACGCGGGACTCAAGGCCGGAGTCTGTCAGATTCTGACACGTCTGAAGCAAGAGAAGCTCGCTGCCGAATTCTCAGAAGAACAGAGTGTCAAACTGCGTGAGGCTCTTGCCAAGTGATGTAGCTTCGGCTTCCCTAGTGGCTCCTTGCCCGATTCTTGCAAGGCACATACATGCTTTGGCAGTGTCAAAGTCAGCGTTGCAGGTTTTTTTGTTAGTGCAAGAAAAGGACAAGGGATGATGGCCGAGGCTCGCCTCGTTTCACATTGGTCCAAGGATGGATCTAGGTTCTTGTTGTAATTCATATCGACGACAGTTGAAACACACATTGTGGTGAACATTCTTATGGAGTCTTAAGTCTTCGATCCTTCCAATTCTGTCAGGGAAAGAAGATCAGCACCGAGGGGAGGCTGGGAACAAAAAGAAGACCATGCCGAACGCAGTGCGCTTTTCAGTGACAGCAGCGCGCGTGCATCCTGCATGAATTGGAAAGTCTGTGGCCGAACCCGAAGCAAATCCTGACAACTGCATAGAAGTACCGTGGATTAGAGTGTTTCTTAGGTCTGCAGCCAAAGGGGCGGGCAGGTTCGATATAGATGGAGGTTGCAAGCAGTCATGTACGCATTGGACAAATTTAATGCAGCGCCATGTCCGGTGGTCCGAAGAAACAGAAGAGGGCGTCAGGACGCGCAGTCGGAAAAGCGCTGGTTGTTTCCGTGATGGACCGACGTCCGGACTGCGTGCCCTTGCTTCTGAGAACGTTACACGAACATGGATACGATGCAGCTGCTGGGTTTATGTCAGAACCAGAGGTTGGGCCGAGTGACTGGCTTCCGGAAAAGTACCAGAAACTGTCGGATCTGACTTTGGAAATCATGGCATCTCTGGTGGACCGATTGCAGCCGAATCTTTGCAACGCAGCGGAAAGAGGCCACATCAACAAAATGAAGTTGCTCCAAATCATCGAGTTTTTTACAGGCTGGGATCCTGATACACCTCTGGAAGGCGCTTGGCGGAACCTGCCTTTCCTGATGCAGTGCTTGACCCACAATTGTCGTGAGCGTGGCCGTCACCATGCTTTGCAAGGTTTCCCAACAGACTGGGAAACAGAGGGGATCTACAGATTTGATAGCGATAATCGGCTGCTGCTGCATCGCTTCTCTGGCAAGACGTTTTCTGTACCAGCCACAGGTCCTTTTGATTTCCAAGTGAGGTTCAACTTCAGTGAGAATCGGGCCATCTTGTTGTTAACAGCTCCAGGTGATGCAGCCAGGCAGACATCCTTTGTCTGTGGGACGTTGCTCCCCGATCATGTCATCATCGCGCTTGAGGCGCCAGAGGCGCCCGCCATTCCAAATCAGCTGATCAGGACACCCTCAACACATGGAATGAAGCATCGCCGCTCTTCACCGGCATCAGGACCATCTCCGGATCCATCAGGAGGGGCGATTGCATCGCGTGGAGAATTCTCACCACCATCATCGAGCCGAGCGCAAACATCTGCAACAGGAGAGGCCGCTGTATCACCTGGACGCTTCTCACCACCATCATCGGGCCGAGTGCAAGCTGTGGCAACATCACCGTGAGAGTCGCCCGCAACCGTGGCCATGGTTCGAAGCTTTCAAGGTACGTCAAGGAACCTCAGCACTGCCTTTGATGCAGCTGCGAAGCAGCATGATGTTTATGATGATACGAATCATGTGCCACCTCCTCCGGCCTCTTGAGAGATATTTCACGCCTCACAGATTCAAAACGGAGCTCAACTCCAGTGTTACCTGTTCATGCTGTTCCACGTTGCAGTTTCTCACGGCGCTGCCGTGTTCGGCTACTTGTCTCGCAAGGTCTGTGCTTGTTTGGTGACCGCGCCGGCAGCTTATTTTCAATGCACAGGCCATTTCAGACTGGGTTTTTTATGGGTCTTTCGGCCTTGTGATTGGGCTTATCTGCGCATGTTTTGCAGTGACATGAGTGATGCGTCCTGGCCAACAGACACACACAAAAACCAGTATGTTGCGCAGTGCTGTTTGTGGTGTTTGCAACTGGGTAAGTGCAATGTGTTGTAATGTTGAGAAGAGCGGCCGAAATTCTTGACGCTTGCCTATTGCCAGCAGACACGTGCCCGCAGCAGCAAGATGCTTTGCAATACTATTGCAAGTCACCCCACATGCGTGCCTACTGCTACCAGAGGACTGCCAGCTGAAGCGGCCCGGAAGTGTTGCTACTGCTACTGAAGACTAAGAGTTTTTTTATTATTAACTATTCTTTAACAGTTATGGCCCACCCTTAGTCACTCTGAGTGTCAACGCTGGTTAAGGGGGCTGTAACAATTTGTTACAGCTCCCTTGCGCAAGCAATAGTGTGGCCCGCGTGCTTGCCTGCTGGCACCAGAGTGGCCCGCCAGCAGCAACACCCGAGATGATGTGCCTATGAGTAATCAGCAGATCCCAATAAAACCTGTTGACTCCACTTAACATGTACAGCCCCCTTCAAAACTCTAGAGGCAAAACCGCATAAGGGGGCTGTAACAATTTGTTACAGCCCCCTTGTGCGAGCAGTAGTGGTCCGCATGCTTGCCTACTGGCACCAGAGGGCTGCCAGCAGCCAGCAGCTGCCGAGGTGCTGTGTGCCTATCACCAGCAGACCTTGTCAAAGCCGTTTACTCCAATTTACTGCCCCCTTAACCGCTCTGAGGCAAAACCGCATAAGGGGGCTGTAACAATTTGTTACAGCCCCCTTGTGCGAGCAGTAGTGGCCCGCATGCTTGCCTACTGGCACCAGAGGGCTGCTAGCAGCTAGCAGCGGCCGAGGTGCTGTGTGCCTATCACCAGCAGACCTTGTCAAAGCCGTTTACTCCAATTTACTGCCCCCTTTAACCGCTCTGAGGCAAAACCGCATAAGGGGGCTGTAACAATTTGTTACAGCCCCCTTGTGCGAGCAGTAGTGGCCCGCATGCTTGCCTACTGGCACCAGAGGGCTGCCAGCAGCCAGCAGCGGCCGAGATGCTGTGTGCCTATCACCAGCAGACCCAATCAAAGCCGTTTACTCCAATTTACAGCCCCCTTAACCGCTTTAGAGGCAAAACCGCATAAGGGGGCTGTAACAATTTGTTACAGCCCCCTTATCGGGTTTTGCCTTTTTAAAAATCACGTGGTTTTAAGGTTACAGCCCCCTTATCACAAAAGTGCCAACGAAAAGTGTTGCGGTAAGCCAATCCAGCTGATTTTTTTAGAGGCAAAACCCGATAAGGGGGCTGTAACAAATTGTTACAGCCCCCTTATGCGGTTTTGCCTCTAAAGCGGTTAAGGGGGCTGTAAATTGGAGTAAACGGCTTGGATTGAAACCGCATAAGGGGGCTGTAACAAATTGTTACAGCCCCCTTGTGCGGTTTTGCGTCAAAAAAATTTTCTCCGCTGCGCGGGGCCACCCTCTGTTGCTCTCTCTGTTAATGTCTGCTTCCCCTTTTCTTTTCTCTCCCCCTCCTCCCCTCCTCCCCTCCTCCCCCCCTCCCCTCCCCCCCTCCTCCTCCCTTTCTCCCTCCTCCCTCTAAAGTGGTTAAGGGGGCTGTAAATTGGAGTAAACGGGTTGGATTGAAACCACATAAGGGGGCTGTAACAAATTGTTACAGCCCCCTTGTGCGGTTTTGCGTCAAAAATTTTCTCCGCTGCGCGGGGCCACCCTTTGTTGCTCTCCTACTCCTCCCCTCCTCCTCCCCTCCTCCCTTTCTCCCTCCTCCTTTCCGGAAAAAAAAATTTCCGCTGCGCGGAGCCGCGTTGTTGCCTCTCCCCCACTCCTCCCTCCTCCCTCTCCTGAAAAAAAATTTTCCGCTGCGCGGAGCCGCCTTGTTGCCTCTCCTCCCCTCCTCCTCCTCCCCTCCTCCTCCCCTCCTCCCTTTCTCCCTCCTCCTTCTCCTGAAAAAAAATTCCGCTGCGCGGAGCCGCCCTTGCCTCTCCTCCCCTCTCCTCCTCCCTTTCTCCGTCCTCCCTCTTCTGAAAAAAAAATTTCCGCTGCGCGGAGCCGCCTTGTTGCCTCTCCTCCCCTCCTCCTCCTCCCCTCCTCCTCCCCTCCTCCCTCTCCTGAAAAAAATTTCCGCTGCGCGGAGCCGCCTTGTTGCCTCTCCTCCCCTCCTCCTCCCTTTCTCCCTCCTCCCTCTCTTGAAAACAAAAAATGTCCGCTGCGCGGAGCCGCCTTGTTGCTCTTTGCGTGTCTGTTTCTCCCCCTCTCCTTTCCTTTCTTTATTTTGAATCGAATTGGAATGCTGATAGACACTTTGCCTTTTGTTTTCTCTTCCTTTTTGTGTGGTCTGGTGTCATGACAGCTCCCTGGACTTGTGTTGCCCCGTTCGTGTCTTTGGCATTTGGCGGGACTTAGTGCACGGCTGCTGACGTTCGGGCTTTGTGATTCCTTCCAAACTATTCATGCTGTTGCTTTAGGGCAACGCAATGCGGGACGGGCCTCAGCTAAACTCTGTAGTATTAATGGGCTCCGTCGAGTGGCTTGCAAACCAGCATTCTTACAATCAGCCCTGAGCCAGGCATTGCTCACCAAAGACAACCATGTGCCGTGCGCCCAGTCTTGGATAGACTGCCTTCATGAGTTGCTGAAGCACACTTTGCCGCAGCGCAAGGCCCAGAGCAGGGTTGGGGTTCTGTCTGACTGGACACCAGTTAGCCAAAGGAGGTGCAGCTGATGGATGCAAGCATCGTTTGTCCGGGGAACTTCTGCTTCGAAAAGTGCACAGGCTCAAGTAAGTTTGTGACACTGCAGCAGGAGCCTCCAGAAGCATGTCAAGTGTTTCAGCTTCATTGATTCATTCCGGTGGTTGCAGAGTGGAAGACTTTGGCAGGACCGACTGACTGCATCTGCGGTTGCAAGTTCTCTCCCATCCTCGGTCCGGCTTGAGTGCTTCTCGTCCACATGTACGACTCGGCTTTCTGGGGCAAACGAGTCACAGGCACCGTTCTCTTGTGCCAGTTTCTGCCGCGCCGAGTTGCGGACGAATGCTACGTTATGAGATAGTGTTGACTTGGCCAGGTGGAGGAGTTCGTTCGATGTTTCCCAGACAATTTTAGCGTCCAGATGCTGGGGACGGTGTTTTTGCCAGCAGACCCCTGCGGCAACCC